ATGCTCTGATAGATCTGCGCGACCTATTATCATGGACACAAAATATGAAACTACCACAGCAAAGATGTGCTTGTAAAATCAAAGGGTTTCAAGGAAATACATTGTTTTTAATTTACTTGTTGCAGGAGACGCAAGATGGTGTTACTTTGCAGGTGAGGGACATAGTGCTGAAGGTCAGATTCCTTCTCACCTTGGTCTTTCACCCAATTTAGCACCTGTGAACAGAACAAAGGAGATTTTGGGGTGGGAATGGGGAAATTATCAAAGGCAACACAAGGCATACACACGGTATGCATTTTATAATATTCTACTTGTGGAAAAACTACGATATTGCGAAGTTTGTTGCTCTCAAATGCTTTACCTTGGTTACTCTTCCACTCAGCTTCAAAGGATGAAAGTCGACTTCAAGCCAGTTGTGAAGTTCTTTTACTTCAGGTACTACATATTGCAACAAGTTAAATCTCACCTGGAAGGAACAAAATAATGTCTTTCAATACCACCAAGACAAGAGGTTTACAAAGTTAAGCGGCATGCTTGTATATGACCACATTATATATACTCCACGGGGAATTCACCAATTATTCAATATTGTAATGTAGACAATGTACAAAGATAAAACTGATTTGATTTCTTCTTACACATTACACGACTGGCCACAATTTTATGCCCATCTGCACTATTCAATATGGTCTACGTTGTGATTTCAAGTAGGGCTGTCACTATCAAATACAGTAAGTAGTCCCACCTACGGACTTCTGTCAAACGGAAATTCCCTCACCCGGAATAAAAACCTATGCATTAAAATTTCGACTACGATATTACATTAACAAACGATTCAGAACAACGGAAGTTCTGGTACCCAGAACTCATACGGAAGCCCACAGTTGCGCAAACTCAAGCAAGTCCCACTCGATACTATAGAATAACTGTGTCCACGCCGCTATTTACTCTCATTGGATCCAAAACGGCGACATGTCAGTGACTCTATTGGCATGAGTTTTAGTGGAATCGCGAGTTTTTTTTTTTTTTTAATTTCATTCATTTACATTTACGTCCTGTAGATCGCAGCATCCAAACGAAGAGGAAGGGTAATAACCGAGGAAGAGAGAGTGGAACGCATCCGATTAACTGCTCGGAGTAAATTACTTGTGGCTCGACAGACAGTCGAGTCAACGAACGTTCCCTGGATTGCTTTACCTGTGATCGTGCTAAAAACCTTCCGCTAACTGGACCGCTAATTGGAGAAAAGGCGAGTTCCATAGTGCTAACTATGGGCATCGAGGACTTCAAAGCGTCCCGTGGCTGGCTTCAAAAGTTCGTTGCACGACATCAGATGAGCAACGCTGTCATGGGTGGTGATTGAGGGGAGGTAAAGATAGAGACAGTGAGTGAGGGGAAACAAAAGGTACCAGGTCTGTTACTAGTCTCATTTTGTAGCAACTAGTCCTAATTTTGTGACGCGTCTTGTTATACTGTATTTTGTTCATATACCTGTACTGTATGCTGCAGTTTTTTCAAATGAAACAACATCAACAAAAAGAACACAAACTCACTCTGAAACATAATCATGTAAAACTACTCCACAATCTAAAATATTTAAGAAAACATTCATACAAACGACGCACCATGTCATTGATCAGACTTTGGCGGGTAGGTGGCGCCTGCAAGCCCAAGAGAGTTGCCAGGCGGCGGTGTTTCTCCACAATGATACCATCCATGTCCAACAGCCGAGCGATATCTGTGCGCTCAGGGGTGATGGGAATGGAGAGAGTAGCCAGGAGGACTCTGGTAGACATCCTGAAGGTGGAGTAAGTAGGTATTTATAATTAAATTGTCTTCATCAGAATAAATCTTATACAAATCTGAACGTATTTATTAAAAAAATAAATAAAATAAAATAAAGATACCTCTGCATCTCCTCTTGTGTGAGATTCTTGCGCATCTCTCTGGAGAGGTGATAAAGCCTGTGGAGGGTGCAAGCATGGAAAAGTGCATTTCCGGACTTCCAAAACACAGTTGACACCTTGTTGTAATAGTTGGCCATTAGCTGTGGTTTGGGTGGCTTCTTGGACAGAGCAAACAGACCATGGATGTCCTCAACAGCCTTGAATGCTTCCTGGAAAGACAAAATGTTTTCACATTGCACCTTTATCTGAAAAAAATTGCAACATTACAGAACATTTAAGGTATCATTAATGGGCTACTTCAAATATTTCACAGCGTTTCTTAATATTTGTCATATACAGCGGAACACGCTATTCGTGAGGGTGACCTTACAAATTTAAAGTTACACTGTGTAGAAATTAGTGCCATCTAGTTGTAAACTAATAGTATGCAGTGACCAAAGCTCGAAGATTGCATTTTGAAGCATGTGCACTACAGTTCCTTAGACAGACAACACTTTGCGAGCCTATTACCAATTTTTTCAGCAATATTTATCCCGAACGGCTTCCAGCTCATTAGGACCTTCCCTCAAGTTATGTAGTTCGCATTGCATCTGTTACACAAGCAATAGTCATTTTGTTGAAAACTATGTTCGCCAAGTTTGTCGCCTTCGGTTACGCGTAGCAGAAAGATAAGAGGCGAAACATGGCATCCTCTTATTTCAGATTATTTCCATTTCCAGTATTTATATTCATAAGTACCACAACAGATTGTGTTCCACCTTTTAGATTTCACAGGATTCAAAGTGAACGAGATATTTATATATTCTTCTGTGAGAAACAGACCTGCCAGAGCTCCATGCTTATGGCACTGTCAAGCTGCACCAGGCGTGTCTCCAGGTGCATGGACTGGCTTTCAGGGTTGTTCAGGTTGATGGCAGTGCTCTGGTTATGGTGTCGCTGAATCTGACCCAGATGCATCCGCAGGTTGTCACACAACTTGCGAAACTCTGCCTTTCGGGTGTACTGAAGGCAAAACTTGAATGCTGCAAAAAAGATAACACACTTGATGAAGAGGAGTTTGCTTCCGAACGCTTGATCTTAAAAGAGAGACCTTAAAGTGGTGATTCGTGCTGAGGTAACTCCAGTGAGAACATAGTTTTGTCCATGTGAGCAATAAACAGACCAGATTTTCTCTTTTAACAATCTGCCCCTTTGAACATGAGATTAAAAAATACGTTAACGGTACCTTGCTGGGCGATGTCATGGTAAAGGCGCTCCACCTTGGAGTTGTTTCGTAGAAGGTCCAGGCACTGGCGGTAGGACTCCCACAGAAATTTCACCCATGGAGTTAGGAGCAGACGATCAGTACGATCCTGAGTGTCCTCTCCACTCACAGCACTCAGGAGCACACTGAATGTAGACAACAAAGCCCAAAATAATAAGACTAACTATTTTAAGTAAAACCAATAAACCAAAACTTAAAACCGAAACAAACTTTCTCACTTTTCTGGAGTCTGGATGCTGTCCAGATCTTCGATGTCCAGGACCATCTGCTGAGACTCCTCTTTAGCCGTTTCGGTCTTGTCCTCCGCCAGCTTCAGGTAAGCTCTAACCACATCCTCGAGAGATTTGATGTTCACCTGATAGTACAAACAAAAAAACACTTTAACCCCTAAAGAGCTAAGACAAGAGGACACACCACTTAAACACCACGACCTAACCTGCTGGCAGATGTTTTTGTACTGGTAGAGACCCTCCTTTGCCAGGTGGCTCTTGCGAAGATCCACGCAAAGCTCCAGGTATTTGAGCATAATGGGCTCGTGGATCTTCTGCCATGTTCGATGTTTCTTGCTCTTGATGACATCGTACAGAACATCCAATGCAGGTTGTTTCTTGCCAACTTCCAGAAATTCTGTATATTACACAAAAATGGAATGACTGTGTAAACAGACAATCAACTCGGCAGTGCTGCATCACCTCTCGTCAAATGACATTTTTCAGTAGGCAGCAGGGCCCAAAGGGAGAAAACATTAGCATATACATCGTCACCAGTAACGAAAGGAGAAATTTTACTTTAGGAACTTGACAAGGCATCATTCAGTTTGACTGTCCAACTTCAAATGGTCTCTGGGCTTAATTTTCATCAATCCACGTCAACGGCCTTGCTCGTTAACTGGCTGAAACATTCATGGTGACTTCCTCCGCGCCATTCACTAGCTAGCATTAGCATTGGCACCGTTAGGGGTGACGAGGCGGCTCAAGGCTAACCGCTGCGTCAGCCGCGTCAAATTATTTCTACTTACCATTCGCTCGTTTCAGAGCATTCTCTGGGCGCTGAAAGTACGCCGGCATCTTGATGGTTTGCTTGTCTACTCAAATCGCCGAATTTATAGGAATTTTGAAAGAATCCACCAGTCCATCCAGGCCACGGGTTCATGCACGGAGACGTCGGTGCCTGTGAAAGGAAGAACCTCGTGAGCGGCCTACTAAGGTTGCCAAGTGCATCAGGCGCTGTCCCCCATCAAAAGCAGCAGTTTACATGATGGACATTGAATTAGTGTACTTACGATAAATGTTACAGAGGATATAGATATTAGAATAGTTCTTGATACCAAAAAATATTTTCGGCAACTTTGAAAGACGTGCCTGAAGAAAAATTCACATCTAAAAGGGGGTTTCACACAATCTGGCAACTCTGAATGACTCTAAAATTCCCGTATGTACGTCCTTTGTTCGTTCGTCGACACTCAAATGTCACAAGTGTGAAGTCTTAGTTATGTTAAGTGTTGACTCCGTGTCAATCCAAAATAAGTCAAATGTGAAGTAATTGAGACATCCAACTGGATTGCTGGGGTTGCCAAATAGCAGTTGCACTTAAAAGAGACCCCATGACCCAGGTTTGTAATGCAGACAAAATGAAATATGCATTACTGTATTTTCTATTGTTGCAGAAATTTGTATATCTATGAGGGAAAACGGAATTGATTTTAAATACCTTTTATTGGTAAAGGATTAGGCCGGCAATTCTATCATAAAAAATATTTTAGACGTAGCCTGGAATGCATCGTTTACGCCCACAATGTGATTGGTTATGCGAGGCCTGTCAGCCTAGGTCTCCTGACCCGGAAAAAGGAAGAAATAAGCACAGAGCAGAAAAGTGGTTGACAGCAGAGGTAATAGAAACAACTCGTCAATGTCATCGCGCTTTTGATCTAATCACTTGACTGCAGCATCCACTTCGAGCTTTTTGCATTTGAATAGCTTTTAGGCTTCGCGGCTTGACAGTCGCATCTTCATGCGATTTTGTGCCCCCCAATTTTATCAGTGATTTGTTTAAACTCTACGGGAATGGAATATGGCAGCAACTGAAACACAGTCTATGTTAAGCATTGGATTGATTGGTAAGTTAACGTTCTCAAGCCAATGTTTTACCTCTGTTCTTTTTCATGGGAGATTAGTGACTCGCGCAGGCAGTTTGTGCTGTAGAATCACATGATAGCAGTGTGAACTAAATTGCTCCCATAGCGGAATTCTCATGTTCTGTCTTGTCGCTACACCATTGCCTCAGTGTGTACAAGTGTGTTCACAAGAGTCATCCATTTAAAATGTCCCATGCTGTCCCCAGAAAAAGACGTGAACGGGGACACTCTGTGGGTTTGGTGCTATCCTGCGGTGGGCTCCGAATTTAGACAGGTCCTGCTCAGCAAGTGCTGTCTGACACAGAACAACGAAGATTTTCACACATTTGTATTTGGCCAATTCTGTCGTTCTTGGTACTATATCAGCACACTGGAGGTACAGGAGCCTACACCTCTAAAGAAGGTACTTTGCTCATTCATAACAACAAAGGTGCAGCAGTTGCTTTTCTTAAATACATACAGTTGTTTCTCCCTTTCCTAGGTCACTCATTTGTCAGTGGTTATTACAGCAAAAGACTTCAACCCTGAGAAATATGCCGCACTCAATCGAATACTGTGCAGGTACAGTACTGTGCATGTAACAAAGCTAGTGAACTAATGCACAATTTGGGAGGAACACCTTTAATAAATCTTTGGTATTCAGGATGTACATCAAATATGGCAGTCCGGTGAAAATGATGGAGGTCTACATCGCTGTTCTCACCAAAGGTATTTGCCAGAGTGAAGAGAATGGCTCATTTTTAACCAAGGACTACGATGTCCGAAAGGCCTTCCTGGCAGGATCAATCAAAGGTAGGGATGCAAAATGTGACTTCTGCTTCATTTCAGTAATAGACCATCACTTGATTTCAATTGGAAGTGAGGTAAAATATTTGGATTTCCTGGGATGGAGTGACACATTGAACTTCTACCAATTTAACCCAGAGAAAAGATTTGGGCATTAAAAAGAAGAAAACCGTGATCCTATCTTATTCAAAACAACATTTGGATTATGGGTTATTGTTCTGTAATAATTGCAAACTAGTAACTGAAGAAGCCAAATCAAGCTGATAAAGCATTATTGCTACCATTATTACCTCATCTTAACTTTAACTTTTTTCTCCTAATCAGTGTTTGTAGATAAATAGATAGGAGGTAAGACACAGACAAATGTGCACCTGTATTTTGTATCAGATGTGGTGTCTCAGTTTGGCATGGAGACCATTATCCTGTACACCGCTGTCATACTGAAAAAGCGTATCGCTGTGCACCATCCTCGAATTGAAGCCTTGTTGGAATTCACAAGGTAAATTTAATATTTCATTTAAAATGTAATTATTATTTCCCTCTAGTGGTGGCTGTGGTAATTTTAGCTGTGCATGTTCACACTGTGAATCTTGTCTTTTAGAGTGCTTCCTGCTCTATCGTGGCACAGGAAAGACTGGTCTATTCTGCATCCATATGTGCACCTGACTGATACTGAACTGGAGCATCTCAGTAAATGCCCAGGTGAAAAAAAGTTTCCTGCTTTCGTTCATCCATTTTCAATGCTGTCTTATTCAATGAATAGCAGGTAAAGTGGGGTCCATCCAGGTGACTTTGGGTGAAAGGTTGGGTACACCCTAAAACTAATTGCTGGCCAATCGCCGGACAGATACAGACAAACGACTGTTCACACTTACAGTACATTCACACCTATGTGGGATTTAAAGTTTCAATTAACTTAATAGCTGGAATACCTTGGGAAAACCCACACAAGCTCAGGGAGAACATGCGCATTCCACACAGGAAGGTCTAACAGGCTTCCCTGATTCTAATGATAAATTCTAGTAAATAAAGCACCAGAGGTGGGCATCATCAGTCCATTAGTGAGCTGCCGTCAGTATTTCAGGCCGGCCCAGTCCGCCAATAGTCATCGTCGACAGACAAACAGTGTCAGGAGCGAATTTGCCGTTCCTACGTAAACACGCACCGGCCACACACCTGAAACGCAGCTAAATACGGAACAAATAAAACCGCGTTGTACACTCTCTGGTCCCAAACACCACAATAACATTATTCCATATTATTTATATCACCACGCTGTGTGTGTGTGTGTGTGTGTGTGTGTGTGTGTGTGTGTGTGTGTGTGTGTGTGTGTGTGTGTGTGTGTGTGTTCTTTTTTATTTTATTTGGCTGCGTGCGAAAATACGCTCTCGAATGCCGATTGACCGTTGCCGCCGACATGTTGAAAATGTTGTGATTTCCAACACGTCTTTTGTCATGTTCTTGTGTCCTTTCTAGTAAGAAGACAACATTTCAGCAACTAAAGGAGTCACTTTAACTCAACATTTGGCCGGAGTATGAATAAATGGGGGATTGAACTATATTTTTAGGGGTGGGGAAGAAAAAGGGTCACAATTTTTTTTTTTTAAAGGATATGACTTTTTTCCCCTTAACCGATAGGTTCAGCAGAATCAACCTTGTTAAAAAAAACCCAGCAGTTTAGCTCAGTGAATTATGGTAGGATGGGTGTTGCAATGGTCGGATCAATGTAATCTTTGTTTTATCATGGTCAGGGATCTGTTATTGATGTGCAATTTTTTTTTCCTGACAGGGTATATAGCAGGATTTGTCGATCCAGAGGTGAGCAACAGGTCAGACCTGTTTGATGTGTATGTGAATCTCCCAGACAGCATCATCACTGTGTCACAGAATGCCAAAGGTGCTGTAAACTTTTAGTAAAGAAAGTAACACAATAGTTCCGCATTCGTGAGCATTTTGACCGCAGGGAGTGGGAAATGACAATAAATAATCTGGTGTTTCAACACAGAGGCTATGATGATGGGGAAGTTACACAAGGACATCGGCCATCTTATTCTCCAGTCTGCAGAAGACACAGAGAGGTCAGATAGTCACGTCATTAAGGTGAGAGTTGTTTTTGTTTTTTTAAGCTGTAAGGAATGGATACGCTTTTTCCCCAAGTGTGACACCCATATTCTCAATTGCAGGACATTTCTTTGAAAACCAAACAGATTCTTGCTCATTTGGGGACCTTGGCTGATCAATGTGAAGGCTCTAAAATCACTCTGGAACATTTAAAGCAGCAAAATTTCCCTCCAGCGACGGAAAACTTCCTGTTTCATCTGGCTGCCGCTGAGCAGATTTTACTGGTGTAAGACTTTTATAAGATTTTGACAGATTTTCAGATGCTATCCAAAAGGGCGATGACAGTGCGGGCACAACTGTCACTTTAGCAGACCCTGGATATGACAATAAAAGTATGCCAAATGCGGCGCTTATTTATTTATTTTTAGATGAGGTATGAGTTTAAAAATGTTCTTACTGACCTCAAATTCCAAGACCTGATGCAGATCCAGAAATTAAGTTGCATCTGCTCGTATGGCTTTGTTGTATGTCTTACAACAGGTCACTGTGCCTCATTGATGCTCAGCAGAAAACGGTAATATTTGCTATTAAAAAGAGAATGAATTATTTTCGACAAAAGACAACATTTTAAAACATGTCTGTCCTAAGCTCCTTGTCGGAATAAAAAAAAAAAAAAAAACAATACACCAGACATATTTTAAGCCTGTTTTGAGGGAGCAGTCCTGCCTCATGAAAATCAGTGACATATAACCGCACCAGCTCCTCCGTAACTGAAGGCTTTTGTTGCCATGATGACTGTGAGAGGAGCGATAAGGCCCACCAAGCGCCTTCAGATGCATAAGTGGAGCCCAGAGTGTGTGTGCCCATCAAGACAATGAAAGCATTTTCACCCATGAAGTCAGTACTTCTTTCTGTCAGCCAAGTATGTTGCACTCACCTAACACAAACGTTAATCTGACTCTGCTTCAAATTTAGTAGTGCTCTTCAGTTTGACCATGGCTTGAAAGTGGTGGTTTCTTTTCCATGGGAGGAGAGTTGAGGTATTTGGGTGCTAGGCGCAGTTACAATCAAAATTATCAGAACTGTGTTGTCACAACGATGAAGCGCCAGCTCACAGACACAGTGACAGCAACAAGCAAGTAATAGAAAAGTTACTGGGTTCTTTATCTTCATACCTCATGCATGGGCAGAAACTATAATAAACTACGTATTTGCCAGTCAATTTTTCACATCAGTTTTGGGGGAAAAAAATGAACAAACAAACAAACTTTGGGTTGGTTGCCATAGTGCTAACAATAATGATACAACAATTTTAAACCAAGTCAGTTTTTCTATTCATTTGCTAACCATTTCAGATTTGTTGAAACAAGTGTTTCATTTCATGTTATCTTGTTAACAGATCATTGCCTATACCTACAAATGCATTGTCTCTATGTTCAGGTTTTTTAAATGTTTCTAATAAGTACTTGGGTTGTGGTCTACATTTGCCAGAAGGACAGTTAAGTGCCTCAGTATTTGATTACATAGTTCAGTGCATAGAATTCATGATATAATGTTGGAGGGTTGCATTTACTTGTATGAGCAGGTTTGTATTCGGCATTGATTGATGCTCTGAATATTCTTCCTTTATTAATTAAATGTAATGTTAAAAAAAAAACAATGTGCTGCTTACTCATTTTACACCCGAGCCGACTAGGTTCATCCATCCTCTATTTTCCGATCCGCTTATCCATTGAGGGGGGGGCTGGAGCCTATCCTAGCTGTCTTCGAGCAGTCGGCGGGGGACACCCTGAACTGGTTGCCAGCCAATCGCAGGGCACACAGAGACGAACAACCATCCGCGCTCACACTCGCACCTAGGGACAATTTAGAGTGTTCAATCAGCCTACCACGCATGTTTTTGAAATGTGGAAGGAAACCGGAGTACCCAGAGAAAACCCACGCAGGCCCGGGAGAACATGCAAACTCCACACAGGGAGGTCGGAGCTGTAAATGAACCCGGTACCTCTGCACTGTGAGGTAGACGCGCTAACCACTGGACCACCGGGCCCCCCCCTACTAGGTTCAGTTGTATTAAACTTGCTCAAAGTCCTCGGTGGTAGAATAACTGTTCTTCAGCCACCTTGGCCTGTAGGTCTTCATCAACATTTTCTTTCCTTATCTGGAAGGACAAGGTCAGTCTCGGCTGAGCTCATGTCGATAAATTCAGTCGAGAGGACGTCCAGAATCTTACCATCCCCAATTGGGGGTAGAGACTGAATGAAAGTGGGATCATCAGGCCGAGGACAAATGCTACACTGATGTGACGGATAGGAGCGACCAGCAGCGCATTCTTCTGGAAAATTCTTGTTCTGCATGAGAGAATTTGTTTAATTCACCAATTTCAATCTGATGATTCATATTAGAGTGAGCTGACCTCTGTAAGACTGAAACCAGGAGATTAGGAACAGCAGCAGTTGTGCCAAACAGTACTGCTCTTGACAATGCAGTTTCCATCACAGCCTGACAAACATACCAGAGCAATCATGAGGATAAACAACACGGAGCTTTGAGATTTACTCTCTTACCTTTTCAGCCGCTGCCTTAGATAGGCCGACAGAATTCCCATTGGAATCGAACACTTGGATACCATTTTGACATTCCTCCCCTCTGACAGTAAACACGTTGAAGAAAGCGAGAGCAGCTGGCAAGACAAAACATGTTATGCTCTGAAATATCTTACCATCCTATTGTGACAAATTGGGTCAGTTGCATATTTTTTTTCTCTAATTATTACTTCCTGTTAGTCAGTCCCCTCGAGCTAAACAAAATTAACGAATCTAAAGTTCTGAAAATAGGCTGCTGTGAGTGTCAAATGATACAATGTTTTCATAACTTAAAAAAAAATCCTAAAAAATAATGGGTTTGTAGAGATGAGGATTTCCACCAACGGCAATGTTGCTAAATGAATATATATGTATTTATCGAACTGCTTTTATTTTAAGAGATGACAAACCTGAGAGCGGGATTGTTGCGAAGAACCTAAAGAAATTTTGGATGAATAGACTTCTGATAGCTAGTCGGTTCACAATAATTTGAGGAAGGGCCTGCAACCAAAAAGTGCAGGATATTATCACAATCTACAATCTCTCAAACAACTTACAACATCGAAAGGACATAAAGTATCAGAAAAAGGCATAATGTACAGTATACTTATATGAGCTGCATTAAAAAAAAATCTACGTTGTCAAAGATAATCAGTTGTACGCTAAAGTACAGTATACTTAAATGAGTCCATTAAAAAAAATCTGTGTTGTCGAAGATAAAGAGTTTTACACTTCGTGACAGCGTTGTAGAACATATCTTGCGCTCTAGCCCTTGAACTGTATCTCAGTGAATTGTGCAGGTGCACCCAACGTTGTGGTCGTGACTTTTACAGGTACACAACAAAAATATCGACAGTTGATTTGTACAATAACTGCTGTACATACCCCCGCGCATGTTGCATACGAGACTGTGCCTGCTATCAAGAGGAGCTGTTTTGGAGACGGCGTCTGACCCTGCAGATAAGCAAAAAGTGCCAACTCCTCGTTCATTAGTCATTTGATTGCAACTGTCAAAGTGGAGGTCTTATGCAGTCACTTAGTATATTGGGCTTCATGACAGTCTTGCAAAAAATACATTACCTTCTCTGAGGAGCAATTTCTGTTTGCATAGTTGAAACCGGCAGTGTAACTTTGTAGCAAAAACTGAAATGAAGCATTTGATGTTAATCAAGTAGCATGCAACACACAATTTAGAAAAGAGAGTTTAATATGGTAAGTCCCATACCTGCCAGAACAAAGTTGGTTTGATATTTTTATGTGGCAAAAAGCTGGCAACCACCTGAAAATTGAGACATTTTTAAATATTCCTCCAACAAGTGCCAGACTATTACAAATGACGGACGTACCAAAGGAGCTGTAAATGGCAAAAATGCTGGAAAGAGAAGAGACAGGCGCGTTCATTAGAAGCACTCAAACTTCTTCGAAAGGGAGCTTTGCAGTTTGTGGCTGAATGTGAGTAGAGAGTACAGCCCTATGCACTTCACAAATACTGTTTTGTGTTCGTGTACTTGTCAGCAGTCACTTTATCAATAAACACCAATGTGTGCTTTGGTTGTCTTTTACAGCCTCTCAGGCCATCTCAATGTTGTTGGGCTGATGGGCACTTTGTTGATTTGGCCACATCAAAGGTTTCGATCTGCAAGATATTGTTATTATATTCTCATGATGGCCTCCTTTGTTTGCATTGAGTGCTATCCTCAGACTTCATGTTGCTCGAGTCAAACAGCTGCCAAAAGGCAACTCAGTTTCGACTGAATCTGGACTTACATGGGCTTCATTTGTTTGGAAATAACAAGGTAAGAGCATGGGGCCAAATAACCTCTTTGTTAGTCAAGAGTCCAAATTGTCCAAATACTTCTGAGCCTCTGAAAAAAGGAGGAAGTCTTGACTTTGACACCTGTGATTTAGAGTGTTCCATTAACCTGCCATGCATGTTTTTGGAATGTGGGAGGAAACCACAGTACCTGGAGAGAACCCATGCAGGCACAAGAAGAACATGGAAACTCCACACAGGAAAGCCAAGGATGGAGCCTGAATCGAACCCTGCATCTCTGCACTGTGAGGCGGACGTGCTAACCAGTCGATCACCGTGCCGTCACGAGCGCACATGCGTGCGTGCATGTGTGTGTGTGTGTGTGTGTGTGTGTGTGTGTGTGTGTGTGTGCGCGCGTGTGTACATAATGTACCTGGAGAGCGGAAAACTAGTGGAAGCACAGAACCAGAATCAGCATGGATGGATGACTGTTAAGACAAACTGATCGTTAAAACATGATTATGAACTGTAATTCTAAGACCATGAATGATGTAGAAACATTTGATTGAATTACAAGCCCAAATTATGTTACACAACAAAGATAGGCCAAACAATATTTCTAGCAACTAAAACAGGGATGGGTCTCTCGCATTACTTACAAGGGAGATGTTCCATGCATGTTCATCCTAAAGGCAGTAAAAGCAAACAGAAAAATTAGTACGTGTAGCAGTTACTGTGTCAAAAAGACAAGCGAACACTGAGCGTATCTGACCTTTTGGTTGAATTTTTCTGCATTTCTGAGTTGGGTGCAGGTTTCTTGTATTTCTGCCTGAGAGGAGCGGGCTCATCAGTTCACCACTTGTGGTACATCACTTTCCAGTAGTGATGGGAAAATGAAGCTTCAAATTTTCTTCAGGAACCAGTTGTTTTTTATTTATTTTTTACTCTTCTCAATGGCGCTCTCGGTTTAAATGAAGGGGGTGGATGAATGGCAAGTCAGTGTACTTTCAGCCCAATGTTGAACAGAGTGCCATCTGGAGGAGTCCAAAAATACAACAACTGGTTCATGAAGCAAATTTGAAGCTTAATTTTCCCAACAATACTGTCCAATATTGTTACACTGAAGGTTCCTGATACTCACGTTTGATGTGAGCAGAAAGGATGGATCCAGAAGATTTACCCAGATCTTTAAGCGACTAAATACAGACTGAAAATAACACATGTTCATCATTGGAATCAATCTGTATCTATATACTGGATAACCCTTTCCACGTAAATATTCACGCAAATTATACAATGCACAAGCTACATAATATACCTACTACAAATGGAAGGGTTATTTTACGAAATGATGATGCTGAAGAAGTTTAACTTGCTAATTTACCTCTCCATGGTTCTTCCAGTACAATAGATTGGCATCCATTATACCAGTACTGAAATTGCTTCTTCTAAAATCACTAAAGGGGGGCTCTCATTTCAAGATACACACAAAAATATTCTCACATTCAAACAGAAGCGTCTGACATGTTGAGGTCAAGTAAGAGCTACTTCCGTTTTCAATCACGTGACCATTGTTGTTCAGGGTCGGTCGGAAAGTTGAAAACTGTAAACGTCCATGTTGACAATGAGATTATGTTTAATTTGCAGTAACACAAGCGTCAAATTGTACGACGTGTATCCCATTCTGTATATTCAACTCAAGTTGAAAAATATCCAGCTGCATGTTTAAAATATCAGCAAAGATATTTTGTCAGTTCTGTGAGCACATGAAAGTCTCTTTTATCGATTTCGTTTAATTTTATTGTATTTGTTTGTTTTAATTTCAACATAGTTTTGTACTGAATAACAACAACAGCAATAATAGTACAATTATATACTATACTGTCGTATATAATTCGGTCATGCGCGATGTAGTAACGTCCAACCGCACTCTTCTGACATAATCCAAAATGGCAGCCAGCATTGGAAGTCTACTCAGGACGTCTGTGAGTTCACGACTTTACACTAAATTGTATCACGCTGTGTTTGCTTTCATTTCACCTGTAAGTAATGTCACTCGAGATGCTGTTGACGAATGCGTGACAGGCCTTCTTAGGTTGTATTGACATGCTGCTGCACTTTGCGAGCTACAACGGTGAACATGAGGGCAAATTTCTGGTTGATGACCACTTGGCGTTGTATTTTACATTTCGATAACCAAGTGAAAACCCAGTCAAAATATTCACTTGCATTTCGATTTCGCATCTGGAAATGTAAAATACGGAATAGTCGCTGAGTTTGCCTCCATAATTTACCTCCTGATAAGTCAATTGGTTACGAAACTGAATATAAATAGAATGTGCGCAGGTCTTTTGAAAATGCGCAACAGTTGACCATCAACCATATTGCCATTTTTTTTTTTTTTTTTTTTTTTACAGAAGTAGTCATCACTCTACGTATTATTATTACTATTATTATTGTCACTGATGGGACACTTGCGTGAGTCAGCTGTGATAGGCTCCAGCTCCTGGCATGATGTGGCACAACGTGGTACTAAACTGAAAGCACTCAGTTTAGTGCCTCAAAATTAAGATAAGATACCACTAAATTGGCTGTGTCAAAAAAGATGTCTTATAAATCTACAATAACACAGATGCACGAATTATGGCACACGATCACAGAGGCCGGTGACACACAAGTGTAACTGCATGTTTAATCATGACTATTATTTCTAGGCAAGAGTTGCAGTCGCATGTCGACAAGGAGTTGCTGCAGCTGGACAAATTGTGTCTGCTTCTGCACTTCACAGGGCCTGTTTCTCTACCAGTATGTACTCGTGTCATCAGTCCATTTCTGCTGTGGCCACTTAACTGAAAAATTAGATTTTGTACAGATTTAGCACAAAGTAGTGCCGAGTTCACAGTGCCTTAAGTAGGTAACATATTCATTCTCTCAGGCTCGAGCAGATGGATCGCTGCAGTCACTCAACCAGCACCTGCTTTTAAAGCCACAGCGGTCCAGAATGGGGAATTCAAGGAGATGAGCCTCGCTGACTTCAAGGGCAAATACTTGGTCCTCTTCTTTTACCCACTGGATTTGTGAGTTCTGCCAGTCCCTCCAACAAACTTTAAAACCTCCCATGCTGTGCTCTGTCAGCGTCCTGTGTTTTTGACAAGTATTTCCATAATGACAAAGGCCAGACCATTTATCTGACTAAATGGTTAGCTTGTCAGATGAATTAATACAGGAAAAGAATGTTGCTGAAAAAGCCGATAGAACTTTGATACTGAAAGTTCTTAAACCTGTGTGAACCCAGTTACATAGAATGAAATTGATGGCAGGGGTTAAAATGTAGTGAACCTCAATTTATTGTGAGGGCTATGTTCTAGACCCCCCTGCAAATGGTGAAAAAATGCAACATAGAAAAAACAAATGCAATATAATGTTGGAACGTGAGCCTTCGTCAAGCAACATTTTAAGGATGAAAATATGTTTACTGACCAAATACTGCACAAGGCAACATGCCTGAGCCATAAATAGATTAAGTTAATTATGTACTATACTTTAAAATGGTTTCTTTGTCTTTGCTTTATTGTAGCACCTTCGTGTGCCCAACAGAGATAATCTCATTCAGCGACAAGGCAAATGAGTTCCATGACATCAACTGCGAGGTAGTGGGTGTGTCTGTGGACTCTCACTTCACACACCTAGCGTGGACCAACACACCTCGCAAGGTATGCTCCCTTGTATTAGTGTTGAACATAAATGAATGCCCCAGTTTGTTTGAAAACCTTGTTTTGCTTTTAGATTTTTCTATTTTATTTTTGGGCAAAAATACTGTTTGCCAATGGCATTTGTCAACAGATAATTTTTTTTCTTACTTTCCAAAATGATACAATGCAAGAAAAAGTATGGAAAAATGCATGCTACTAATTTTTATCTTTCATATGCCTACACGTTTCATCCATGAAAATATATTCACATAAAGCATCCGGTGACTGGAATAATGTCCCACCGTGTCATCGTGGGGACGTGGCACTCAGAATTTTGAAACATTTTATATTTTCTTGGGTTGTCTTTGTGAGATATTTCAATGTTTAAAAAAAAATAGGTTACCGCCACACTTTGAGCAACTAATACCCCGGCAAAATCGGGCATTAGGAAGGGGAAAATACCGTTTTATCAGCACTGTATGTTGAGTGTGGTAATTGACGTATTACCTGAGCGTTATAGACCGTTGTTAAGATGGTGTTGACGTTTGTCTTGCAGACCGGAGGCTTGGGCAGCATTCACATACCTCTGCTCTCCGACCTCAATAAGCAGATTTCCAGAGACTATGGCGTACTGCTGGAGGACTCAGGCATTGCTCTGAGGTACAAACAGTATTTTCAGCAGTATTACTACTGTGAAATATTTGATAAACTCAATATGTAAACTATTAAAGCGTCCTGCCAGGAAGTAGGTGTTTTTGTTCCTGTTTGTAGTTCAAAGTCAAGGCACAAGCCTTGCCATTTAAAGTCATTCAGGGTGAATGCTGACCTGAATTGACCCAATGAAATTATATTGCTGCCTAATTTTCCTGATATTTTACATTTACCTGCAACTTTCCTCTTAGGGGTCTGTTCATCATCGATCCAAATGGTGTGGTGAAACACATGAGCGTAAATGACCTGCCAGTGGGTCGTTGTGTTGAAGAGACCCTTCGTCTTGTGAAGGCTTTCCAGTTCGTGGAGACCCACGGTGAGGTGTGTCCAGCAAGCTGGACTCCCAAGTCGCCAACAGTGAGTGGAAATTATTCTAACATGCCCATATTAATTTGTTGAGACTCTGAAATTGAAAGTCAATATTGTTTTTCCTTTTGATTTCAGATCAAACCAACCCCTGAAGGATCAAAAGAGTATTTTGAAAATGTCAACTGATGGTAAATCCCGACATGTCCATGTAAAGTTTTTGTTTGATGCACTGTGACTTGGACAATCATGCTAATAAAAGCTCCTTTATGGGGAAAAAAATAGTAAAATCTCTTCCACTGTTGGTACTTTTGTTTTGCACAATAAGTACACGTCATTTACAAGAAGATAACAGGCTTAAGATTGCGACCCCTGTACATAAACGTGTTTATTTCCTCTTTTTACAATATGCAGGATGAAAATGTCTCATCAGACATTGGTACACAACATGGTGCCAAAATCAACTTCAGTGGGGAATAACGAACTGAGACGGTAGTACGAGTAGGGAACATACTGTATATACATACACAATATGTAGGGGGTAAATAAAGACTTTGAAAGACTGCAGCACTCCGTGTGGTTATGAAGACATCGAAGTGTGCGTTGTGTGTAGTTATGTGATAACAAAGCTCATTCCTTTGGACATTCACACAGAACGTGTCGTGTTAGGCAACAAAAAGGGTGTGCAAGGGAAATGGCTTACGAGATGCCGAGCCTTTTTTTAAAGCTTTAAATAATAGGAAATTAAGCGAGCCTAAGTGTACCAGCCTGCTTCCACAATGCATTCCATTGTGAAGCTGATCATAACGCGGTGAAACAATTTGAGTTGTCTGGTATGGTGAAATCCTCATGCAATTTCAGGCAAGATGAAGCAGCGCCACCAGCCCCCACCCCAAGCACCAAACACAACATAATTTTTGTTTTTCGCCGATTCATAAAAAAACACCCTATTGTAAATCTGTACAACGAAAATACATTTGGGATCTACATCTAAAGGTACATTAAGGTTATATACACTCCCCTCATACATATATTATCTTTACATGTAGACGTAATTCAAAGCCAAACATTAAACAAGACTAAACCTAGGGGAAAGCATCACAGCCATTTAAAAGTCTGTTACTGTCCCCCAACGGCTGATCTGACCCTCATTCTCGATTCCACAGTCAACTACAGCAGGACTTGAACATTGCCACTGGATGGACAGGGACCGTAACAGGGAAATAAGAGCCGCCAAAATGGGGGGATGACTCGAGTGACAGCAGTGGAAATAAATGGGAACAAAGTACTTCAACTATGCACTAATGGTACAAAATAGAAATTAAGTCAGAATGTGGGCACAGAGCCAACTCTGTTATTCTGACACATTAGAACAAATAAAGGCTTTCAATATACTTAGGCCTCTTCACTGAAGAGAGCTGCACTATTCCATCCATAAACATGTATGTAGTCTGGTCTCAGGTGGGACTGGTTTGGAAGAGAAGCCACGTAAGCCTTAAACATTTGCCCCCGATATTTGTATGAAAGCAACTGATAAAAACAGATCTGATCACTTCATGTTGCAGCGTTGAAAATCATTCAGAAAATGGAGAACTACATTGTACAAAGTGAGATTCTCACAATCTCTTTGCAAGAAAGAAAACTACTACAGGATGTTGTCTGCCGGCCGTCTTCCAGGATACACGCAGGTGACTCCATGACCATGATCCATCTTGCTGTGCTGCTTTAGTCTATTTTCACATTTGTGTATATCTTCCTCACAAAGGCACTTGTTCCCATGTATCCGACTGCACCTGCAAAACACACACACACAGGTTCAGTCCAAGTCATTGGGATTTCATTATGCTGCCCGCCTATTCCGAACAAAATGCTGGTTATAAAAATAAAGCAATGTGTCCACAATATCCTCTCTGAAGGCACCATTCAGAATGCAGCATTCTTCCCTGAAAAATAATGTATAACGCACTCTAAAGGCTTCAAAATATATAGATCTGTCAATTACGTAGATTTTTAAAAATGTGATGATTGACAACGAGACAACTCTTGCCCAAAAGGTAGCTGGGACAGGCTCCAGCTCACCCATGACCCGAATGAGGACAAGCGCTGATGAAATTGGAGGGACGGATATTTTACCAAATGGGAACTTGTGTTAACACTAGTGTCAACGCTAAAGTCAGGGTTGTGTGATTTGTTTGTACGAATGAAAATTAAAACGTTCAGACAATATTTATTTCAGCATATAGTCCATTATTTTGTGTGGTGTTCTGGTCATGACCATGTCTTTATTAAAAATGGCATGTCTTATCATTTGTATTTGATAATTTGGTTTTGAAGAACAACAGGCAGGACTGACCACACATGATTCCAAGAGCAGTGCTGAACACGGCCATGTAACCAAAGTAGAAGGATGTCTGGAACAGCCCGTACATCCTGAAATAGGCCAGAGAAGAAAGCCTTCAGTTTGTGCAATTGTTTTGTACAAAAAAAAAATAATAATAATCACCCAGACTCAAACTCACTTTGTTTTGAAGAAATAGTAATAAAAAGAGTACATGTAAACATAAACTGCAGTGGACGCAGCAGACAGGAAGCTTGTCCATTGCCTGGAAAGGAGAAATGTCATGTTCCGTTATAATTTAATTTCTTCCAAAATTACAGTCTGAGACAAGACAAAGATGTTCACCATCTGTAGTCCTCGGCATTGAGCAGGAAGTACGTGCACACGATGGTGACACACACAGTCACGATGCAAAGGATAACCAGGACCAGCATCATGAAGCCGTAGACGTAGTAGATTTTATAGGCCCAGAAAGATGTGAAGATGAAATACCTGATGAGCGAAGAAAAGTCAACTTATGTCATAAAAAAGGAGCCTAAAATATAACCACCCCTCTCAGGATGTCGACTTACATTTCAATGAAGATGGAACCGAAAGGAAGGATTCCACCGAGACAAACGATGACAGCTGGCTCCATGAACCTAACGGCACAAAATACCCCACAGACGGCTTTAGTGCGTGGTTGTAAACATTAAGAGCATAATGTCACTGAGCAAATGCCGACGACCCTTGTTTGGCCCCAGAGAGAACGGTGCTCAATGCACACCTACCATTTCTTTTCAGGGATTGGCCTCGGCACAGCGTTCACCCTGCATGGGAAGTTTGGCTGCCCTGAAAGATTCCTCCCCAAAATTGTTCCCACCAGGTTTAGTGGCAGAATGACGAAGAAGCAGATGCAACAAACAGCCACCTGCAAATGGGCAGAGACAATTTTCTTATCGGCTTAGGTGATGATGACAAAACACCAATACTGATTCAACAGTAAAAGAGGTTGTTCCCTTACATGTACATTGTTACCGAATGGAAACCGATTTGAGTTTCCGTACAATTCGTTTTAGTGTCACTTTTTGGAACAGAATAATCAGAAAAAGCGAGACTCCACAGTATTATATACCAATCCATCTGCCTCACAATATTAGTGTCATGCAGGTGCACCTCAAAACTGCTAATTATTGATCTGGGCAAAGTTTCTCATATGATGTGGTGTACATGTTTGTCTAAACCCACCATAGTGCCAAACGGGATTGCTCTGGAGGCGTGATAGTAGATTGCGATGAAGTTAATGAAGAAGGCAGTTCCGCAAACCATTGCTGGGATCATAAAGGCCCCAATGAACATTTGCTTGATCCATCTTCTTCCTGTATTTGTCAAGAAATCAAACAAGAAAATTTAAATCAAGTATGATGACATGCAAATACAACGGTCGATTGTCAAATATCATTACCTCCTTGTTTAGCGTACAAGCTTCCACCAAAATAGCCATTAACAGGAGAGGTGGCCGCATACACAAAAATGGCTGTGCTCAGCATCGATCCTCTCCTGTAAAGTTGGGGGTGGGGGAAAAAAAGATCCACGTCTGTTAAGTCCATGATTCCTTGCATGGAACTGTACTTTCTGACTTACTCTGTATACAGATCCTCGACCATTGCCACGATAATGACAATTAGAGATACAGAGAAGATCTGGCAGCCAGAACCGATGAGTGAGGAGAAAATCAGTGGATGGCTTGAGGGCCGGAATACATCCCCATGCACCTGCTTCCAACCGTATTCATCTCCCAAGTCTCGGTCCTATTGGGAAAGCCGCAGCATGGTATAAACTCATTTGAAAGTGCAGGTTGTCACTCAATAACCATTAGTGAGCTTACCATGTCATCCATTTCCTCCTCTTTGCTGTATCTGGCATAATCCTTTCGGAGAGTTCTCATCAAAATCATGGACACTAGGCCCACCAAGAAGATCACCATCATGAATGAGTTAAAAATAGAGAACCAATGTATCTAGGAAGAAATGAGTGAGTGAATAACACAGGTTAAGAGGTTCAAAATTCAAAGCTGTGTGTGAAAGAACTTATTGGTCTATAATGACAATAAGATATTGCTTGCAGAATCGCCCGATACCCTTTTGAGAACACTTCACCTGAGAGTATATTCTTAAAGACTGAAACGAAATGAAAAACGTGCAAAAGCATGTTGACATTGTACGCACACTGCTTGCTGTGCGTCATTGTGGATATTGGTGTTGGCGGTGGTATATTGATGCTGCTCATTAGGGATGTCCCGATCCGATTGCCCTTTTGGAAATCGGGCCTGATCACGTGATTTGCAGCTGATCCGGTATCGGGTGAAAAAGATCGGTTATTTTCTGAGCGATAAACGTTCACAAAGCTACAAAATAATATAAATACGTAAATATCTTGCTGAATAGAACATTAATAGCTTAGTTTTATATTACCCAATGTTACTTGTTTTTGTACATTTGTTTTTAGTAGCGATTCAGTTAGACACGAACACATCCACAGACACGTGCCCTGTGTTGCGCACTGTGCTTCTGCAGGTAGAGACAGGCGGTGGGTTTGTCTTCATAGCTTGGTTGGAGAGAGGGGCAAGCCAAAATTAAGTCTGCCTTGCCTGATATTAAAGAAGACTCACTAAATGGCACCGTCAAAGAATTGAGAGATCTGAGGATGTGACAGACAGGTTATGTCAATATGATGTAACTTCAAACAAGTTTAACAAGTGTAATTTATTTGGTGACAAGCACACTAGGTCCCCACTGGTGGCATTTAACAAGGTCAGAAATCAATAGGGTTGTTTGTGGGTGAGGGAAGTCAACGCACGTAGCACCTAACAACTATGGAGCTGTGCGGAGACTTTTCATTTTAGCCCGCACGAGCCTATCAATAATGATGTAAATACCTGTAGACAAATCAAAATGTATCAAACAGAGGAATCCCT